AGGCTAATACTGAAGAGTGCGCGCCAGTACCACCGAGATCCTGTAGATGTCACAAAGAGAAACTTATTTTCCCTCCTTTATAAAACCAAATTTAAATAAGCTACGAGAAAATTCCACCAAAGTTGTTTCATGCACCCGTGATTAAACCAGGTTTTCACAAATACCGAATTTATAGTCACAGTTAAGTAAATCCTGGCTACACACGCAATTTTGTATTCACCTTGTCGCTTAATTTAACTTATTTTAGCTCTTTGGAAAGCGCATTTTTGGTGTGACTGACATTTGACAAACACTCTTAACAGGACATCTAAAATGTGCAACGCTCATTGAGCTTAACAGGTTCACAAGCGAAGAGACTTCAGAAGTAGTTCTGTGATACTATCTTCCTGGGGCCATTCACTGACATTAAGTGGATGTCGTGCTGCTCTCTGAGAGTTCCAAAATGATAATGTTTCTGTTTCGAACAATGATGGCAGCTTTTAGTATGAATTCAATATAAAAATCAATAACGACGACAAAATGGAAACACATGATGTCCATCGTGCCAATAGGACAGCTTGTCCAGGCGAACTGGCTCAGTGGCAATGACCACTGCAGGGCCACCTGGGTGCGCCCAGCACCTCAAGCAGGCAGCATTCAATCTCAATCTCTGTTGAGCCCCTGTGCTTTTTTTTCATTTGCATAAATATAATGCCCGCACGCGCACACACACGCACGCACACGCACGCACACACACACACACACCACACTCACAACCCACACACACACACCACACACACTCACACACACCACACACACACGCACGCACACACACGCGCTACTGTTGCTGCCCCGTCCAGTCTGGGGAGCTCCCTCCTTGCAGGCCGAGACAGGAAAAATACATTCACGTTACAAATTACTGGAGTACTTTAGGTGATATGGATTTTTTTAAAATACCAATTGCTTTAAGTTGCGTGAAATTTCGGAGCATTACTTGCAAATGACAAATATCAAATGTTATACTCTAACTACATGTACTGTAGATACTGGCCATCTCTGCTTAAGGGGCTGTAAGCACTGCAGAGATTTCTCCCGTCCAGGTTCAAGGCTGTCCTCTCTCTCTGCCTCCCGATGACTTCGCGCCTTCAGTCCAGCCGTCTCTGTACCCCATAGCCATCTTCCATCCCCCCACCTCACTCCGATTCACCTCTGAAAAAATCCTCAAAACGAATTCCTCTTGCTGGCAATGCACTTCCCTGTTTGGACAGCATCATGAGCTGCAGTGGCATTTAGATCCGTTCTAAGAGAACTCAATCCTGTCAAAGCGTTTTCCACCTCTGGGGACCCAATTGGCTTCGCCCTGTGGGTTTCTGCATATTCTCTTAATTGCCAACAAACTAAGGAAGAGTCCGACAACAGCGAACTCCTGCTACACTCTTCACCAGAAGGGACACAAGGCCAATAACTCTGGTCCAATAGCTTATAAGGCAAACACTGGTAATTTTCTCATCCGAAAATAATGTAAATGTCCATAAACATGTTCACGTATAGTCCACTCTGTCTATTCACTTCTAGATGCGGGCTTACCACGCCTCTGTGGACAGTGAAGGATAATTGACCATACTTCACCACTCTGGTCAGTGCGCGTTGGTGAAGGTGCAGGAGGCGTAGAGGACAACAAGAGATGTTGCTGCACCGCCCTCTCCTGCCCACAACACCGATTGAACCCGTCCTTTGCAAATGGGAGTCACCCACCCAAGCGCTATCCAGGCTGAACCCTGCTAAGATTCTGAGACCTATCGATAATCAGGGGCAACTTCGGCTAGTTTGTTAACAGGCTGTGAGAAACATGAATTGGGATATATTAGCAGAGGGGTGATAAGGAAGGCAAGGCTTCTTGCACTGTTCTCTCAGTCTCCACGAATAAGGCACAGCGCTGATATGTAAGCACGCACGCACACACACAGAGCTCGTAGAAGGAGCAGCTAAAAACAATCTCCATAAAAGAGGTTTTTGGGTTAGATCGCGTAAATATGTGTCGTTAAAACCCGTCACCACGTGACACAGCCAACTAGTAAGGTTTGTCACGTAAACAGAACATGCCAATTCGTCACTAGTACAGCACACCGGTGTGTTGGAGAGCCAAGCCACAACATTTACAAACTGAGTACGACGTTTCACCAGTAATTACAACTAGCTTCATCAGGCGACAGCCAGATTTGTTTCGTTCCTATAAGGAACAAAACACTAAGACTTCTCCACAATATATATTTACGCGATCTAACCCAAAAACCTCTATTATGGATATTAGTCACGAAAGCCTACATGTTAAAAAACAATCTCCTCCATCAGACTCCCAGATTGCCGGGGCCAGTGCAGCGAGCAAACGGCGATCGAGGCTGGCACAGCGACAAATAAGGGCAGAGAAACTGGCACCAACGTATGCCAAGTCACGTTCGTCTTTTTACCAATGCCGACATGAACCACACGAGTGGTACTCTTTTTTCAGGCGAAGTCTACCTTGGTGGAGATAGAAAATGCCACGGGTGTTGTGCATAGCTAAGACTCAAACCCAGATTCACGAGCAGCACGGTCGTGCAGCGTGTGAATCTGAAAGCCACCACTCGGCATATGCTTACGTGCATCTGTGAGCTTGCCACGTGCGCTTGCAGACACACGCGCGCATGCTTGCGGATCCCACACACAAGGCACCGTTCCGTACATTCGCAGTAGGACGTAAGACACGATCGGCGGATAAATCCCTAAATGAGAGCGACGAGGTGAAGCTTAAATCCTTTAACGCGGCGCGACAATGGATAAACGAGCAGCTCCATTGTGGATCTATGCGAGCGCGCGTTTGCCCGTAGAGTGACACGGAGAGGAGAGAGGTGAGCGTGGGTGTTAGGGCAGTGCACCTCACACCACGGGGGGAGGGACGGGCGGGGGGGGGGGGGGGTCCTTGCTCTTCCGTGCTCCGTGCAACCCTCGTCTTGGATAATTGGATGGGAATGGTTCCCCCCCCCCCCCCACACACACGCTACCTACGTGGGACAATGTGAAATTAAGAAACTCGCCCATAGCTTCAAAGCACCATTGTGAATCATCAATGTTGGTTCTCCTCAATATCTGTTCCAGGATAATTAATGTTTGCCCTCGCCACGTTGACGAGATGTTATCTCCCTCGCCTGGTATACAGTAGGGCTGAACGATTAATCGATTTCAAATCGAAATCGCAATTTGAAACAATGCGATTAACAAATCACAAAGACTGCAATTTGATGCGATTTGAAAAGTCCTATTACTTTCTTATTGGAATTGTTTGCTTTATTATTATAACTGTATTTATTTAACTTAACAATTGTTCTAGGTTTGATTGTTCTATTTCAATTAAAAGATTTTTATAAATACATGTTGGAAGCAATTCATATCTTTTAAGTTCTCATCCTTGCATTAGAATATATGGAGCAGTTCATATTGTGATGGTATCACGTGGTAATGCTCCATCACGTGTTTTAAATCAATTACACAGTGAATATTGAACTGAAGCTTGACTTAAAAAAATTAAAATCACAATCGTAATATCTGTCAGAAAAATCGTAATGAGATACTTTCCCCACATCGTTCAGCCCTAGTATACAGGAGGTCGTAGGTTCGATCCCAACCCTAACGCCTGTATATTTGGAGTTTGCATGTTCTCCCCGTGGTCGCATGGATTTTTCTCCGGGTCCTCCAGTTTTTCCGACCACATTTACACACGATTATATTATTTAGATGATTTGGCTGCTAGAAATTTCCACGTAATAAGCCACTTCGTTGAGCTATCATTTGTGACCCAGTCACTTCTGAAAAAGAGCTCTATAGCTCAGTGAGCCTTACCTGGTAAAAATAAACTCAAAACCAAACTATTTTTTTAATGTACCCCAGGTTAGGGTGAGGCTTAGGTTTTTGGTTAGGGGTAATCGATTTGAGGTTATGGGCTACATTGCTTCGGAAATTGATTTTTAAAAAAAATTCCACTTAAAGCAAAACAACCAGGTGTCTCACAAACATGTTTAAGAACGCATGGGTTTGGAACTTCATATGCAAAGATCAGTTTGTTATAAAAAATAAAATAAACATTGGGGTTAAAAATATAGGGATGGGGACCCAATTTTCCCAAATTTGCATTCCTAGAGATATTTGTGGGGGGAACACATCCTCTTAGATGGGGAACTAACCCCAGTGCCGCTGCAGTGTGGCACAGCGTGCAGACCCCTGCTAGTGGCGTAGCTTCAGCGATTGCACGTGGAATCGTGTACATTCTTCGGGGTTTTCATACCAAATTTCAACAATTATTAAGGGAAGATGAGAGTTTGGCAACTGGTTTAAACGGTGTGGTTGAAATGTTGGTGTTATGTAATGTTAATAAATTGTTTCCAAAAAAATATATAATAACTGGAGCTACCTTCGATAGCAATGACCACAAGCATTTTTAACAATCACAGCCGGATATGCAGGGTATTTGAGAGAGTCCTGGGACTCTGAAAAACCCGTGCGAAATATCTCGCCAATACCACGGTGGGCAGACATGTGGAGCTCCAGAGCGATGAGGCTCATGACTAAGTCTTCACACTCCCAAGCCTATATTAGCTATAGTTGTATTAAACATTTATCAAACTGCAGTCCGATTATATCTTACAATTGTAATCAGCCCCTTCGTCAATCAAAGGTCCCCCCCCATGCCATGTGAATTGTGGGGGTTGTTTGTCCATACTTCACCATGCTGGTCAGTGTGAGATTGTAAATTGTGGGGGTTTTTTGTCCCTACTTCGCCATGCTGGTCAGTGTGAGATTGTAAATTGTGGGGGTTGTTTGTCCCTACTTCGCCATGCTGGTCAGTGTGAGATTGTAAATTGTGGGGGTTGTTTGTCCCTACTTCGCCATGCTGGTCAGTGTGAGATTGTAAATTGTGGGGGTTGTTTGTCCATACTTCACCATGCTGGTCAGTGTGAGATTGTAAATTGTGGGGGTTGTTTGTCCCTACTTCGCCATGCTGGTCAGTGTGAGATTGTAAATTGAGGGGGGGGGGCCCAGGACAAGTGGTTCGGACATCACTCGTCACTGATGTTAGCAGCCTTGGCTGGGAATCAAACTCAGGTGGATTTACCCAGCCATAGTGCGCAAACAACTCTGTGCCACTGCTGCTGTATTATTACACAAAAAATATACTTTCATTGACACCCAGTATATTGCATCGTGTGTACAAACATAAAGTGCCCTGTCGATTATATTGCTGAGTTTTTAACATAGTGGTCCATAGGAAAAGCTGAAGGTCATGAGTCACAATTTCCTGAAGGGCTCATGTAAGGTTTATGCAGGACAATGCCGTGTGCATTATTTGCGAATCAGTCACTTGTGTTGGTCACACAATCACAGTTTTAAACAAAGCTTCCCATCGCTGCCTCTTGCTCGATTACCACCAACTCTCCGAGTGCTAATCCCTTTAGCTGGTTTCTCATTGCCGTGATACGTCTCGTTAAGCCTAAAAGCCCCCGCGGATCAACTCAACGGCACGAGGCCCCCGCGCAGTCAAGTCAGGCAGCTTAACGTTTGCATTGTTTACCATTTGACACGCTGTGGATCCATAAAAAAAAACGATTCTCAATTCAAGCTCTTGCCGTCCCGCGATTCGGTTCATCGCCTTTACTTCTTCCGTGACGGACGCAGGCCTTGCTGCGATGGCATGTGTGGGGGGGGAGCTGCAGCAGAGAGAGAGACAGAATGTCAGCAGGGCATGAAGAGGGCGACAGTATTATTCAGATACTTGCTCAGTTTCAGTCACGGAAAAATGCCAGCCACCATTAAATACCACAGCGCGAGCAAACCTCACGCCGGGCCCTTGGCTAAATCGCTCAATTGGCGTAGCGGCGGCGAGCTGCGCCCTGCTCAATTCGCAAGTGAATGGATACAGTTCTAAACATAATGAGCCTCAATAAGCATGTCATGGTTAATTAATTTCATTATTGAGTATTATGTGAATGATCCATCAATGCACCAATATGTCTGATGTAAAAATCATTTAAAATTCCAGCCATTCTCAATCCACCAATAGATGAAGGCCTCCCCATGCCATATTGGTCTTTTGTGTTTTCTGACCACACTTACCCACCCGCACTGATCAGCACGCTGATCAGTGCGGGTGGGTAAAGGGGAGGGGGGAGGTCAGGACCGGTTCACATATAGCGCTCTCCATTGATTGTTAGCCATGGTGTGCCATGAACTTAGGTGGCTAAGTTCATGGCACACCCAGCTAACCACTATATCACCGCTCCACCCAAGAATGGATTATTAATGAGGAATGCAAACGCCGTGTAACTATCACAATCGAGCTAAGGAGGCCAACCAGACGATAAGAGTTAATCGAACAGCGACGGCGACCGCCATGTGCCTGGCCTGGCAAGCGCATTCGAGTTGGGGGGGCTTCATTGATGGAGAGTGAACATTAGGATTCAGAACCAGACACATCGGCAAGCCGGTGGCGCGTTCCTCCAGTGTGCAGCATTCACGCAGACATTTAAGCACACACAGAGGCTCTCTGCCGCAGACATACAGACCGGACTGGGCTCGCGTGAACTGGAGTTGCGAGCGATCGAATGAGAATAAGGGCAGGTCACTGGAGGTCTCACAGGCTGCGACACACACACCACACCCTGTGCACACAACGAATGTCCATGTGGAGACTGTAAAAGGTAAGTAAAGGTACAGGAGCAGCCCTGCAATGTCCTAATCACGTTACTGCTGGCAGTAGGCCCTCTACTCGAAGGAATTCTAAAGAAGCTCTCTGAAAGGTATAGGGCCAACTCGTCCTCGCTATCCAGACATCTTGGTAGAAGTGCAAGTGCCCACACTCTACCCCACCGCACGCGATATGCCGATCAACTAACTGTGGTGCACCCCTTTATAAACCAGCTGTACGCATTTATACTGCCACGCAGGCAGACAAAACCGGTGGAACTCTAGGTTCCAAGTCCAGTGTGGTGATCATTACTCCACAGGCAAAAATATGTATTACTCAATTGGGACTGTACATAGCAATCATCGCACCCTACTGCCATACTAATGCCGCAGGTCACCCTTGCCAATAAGACTCATCCCTAGTCCCTTGACTGCTCACCTGGTTGAACCAAATAAACTTGAACCCATATCACATATATACACACACTCAAATTAAACACATAAACAGCCCTTTCGTCAATCTACTGCTGGATGAGGGCCTCCCTATATAGTATTATATTGCATGTTTTTATTATTACTGTACATGTATTAAGATGAAATTGTATGATATTACCTTGTCTATGTCTCATTTACCCAGTTATTTAATAATTTCCTGTAGTTAATTTCAATTTGTTGTCAAAGTTCTCAGCAAATCTGAGACGGTGATGAGATGTCCCAATTGCTCTCTCTCAGCTGCCACGTTTGTGATCCATAGAGGAGGTAAAATCTCGCAACGAATCAGGACCGGGCACGGCCGATGCGGCCACCCGATGCACAAATGGCGCTCTCGTCTCAGGTCAATAGTACGTTAACCATTCACTATCAAATTGAGTTTCCCATAAGCAATCCCATTTATCCTCACTCACCTCTTTAATTCCTCACCTTCATACAAATCCACTTTCAAAAAATTCTGATGTGTGTTCCAGCTGTGTTCCTCCAATAATAACTGTTTTGTTCAGTGACCTTGCTTGGATGAACTTTTAGTCCACGCATGTTTAGTTTGGGCCCAACTTTTCTGCCGCTATGAATGAAAATGATTATTCCTGTATCAACTATTTTCCATGTGATTTCTTGTCAAGGTAACAAATTATAACATTGTGTGAATAAATTTAAGGAATGGCTGTCAGTCCCTAACCTCTATACCTCGGCTTTAAACAGGGGCCATGGAGAGTGGTGGTTTAGTGCGGTTAGCACACTGCAATATGAACCTGGCCACCCGAGCTGGATGCCTGGGCACGGCTAACATCAGTGGCGAGTGATGCCAGAATCGGTTCAGAGCTACCCCTCGCTCCGCCCACCCCATTAAGGAGCCAGCACTGAACACAGCCTTTATCCAGCAGTGGATTAACAATGATTATTATAGCGCGCTCTGACCATTGGAAGATGATGATGATGCTAATGATAAAAGCGATTAGAATAATGGTAATTATAAAGGTGATTACTATCATGATTATGTTAAAGATAAATTATGATGATAATACGTGAAATTATTACAAGCTTGATGATTGTAATAACACTGTGAATAATGTCAATTAATCATAATAACGACGATGATGATGATGATGATTTTCGATTTAAAGCTTTCGTGACTGCAAGGATTCATCTTCTTTGGTTCTTTCGGTAAAGTCACGTAGAATGAGAATAAAACAATAAAATAATCAAATAAAATAACACAATAAAATTCTCACGACGTTTCGGCCACAACACAAGCAGCCTTCTTCTTACCGAAAGAACCAAAGAAGATGATGATGATGGTGACGACGCGCATAGCAATTGACCGATAATTACAACGGCATGACAACCGATGATGACACACCACGGCGTCGACAACACGGTGAACGATACTGACGGAGACAAAAGCGAAGACGCCGACGGCGGCGTTACCGACCGGGTGGTTTGGGCCTCGCCGGTCTCGGCGCCCCCGACGACGACGCCGCCCCCCCCTCGGACGACAGCCTCCGCACGGGAACCGAGGGCAGCGCCGTTCCCATGGCGAGGGCCAGCGGCGTGGGCACGCAGCCAGACAGGCGGTTGTTGGGCCCTCGCCGCGCCGCCTCCCCGCTCCCCTCTCCGCCGTCCTCTCCCCCCGCGGGCACCACGGCCGGCAGCGACGGCAAGGAGGACGACGCCGCCATCGCCGAGGAGCCGAGGCCGCGCGGTGGCATCGCGCGGCGTTCGGGGCCGGGCCCGAGGCTCCCTTCGGACATGGCCGCCGGCATCGGCGCAGCCTTCGCGTGCGGCGGATGCGCCTCGTGGCGGAATGCGGCCGCGTCGGAGTGGCCGAACTGCCCCGTCGATCCGAGGGCCGCCGCGTCAGGGTAGAGGCAGTAGGGGGGCGGCGTGGGGAGCTGCGGGAAAGGGGCCCCGTGCAGGGCCGGGTAGAGCCCCGTCGGCGGCGCGAAAGGCGGCGGGTGGTCGCCGTAGGCCGGCGGGAGGTCGACGAACCCCATGGGGGGCGCGCTGGGCGAGGGCCGCTCGCCCGCGTCGGGATCCGGGGATTTGAATGAGGGCGCCGGATCCGCTGCGGTCGGGTAGTCCGGCTCGGGAAGAGGCTGCGGCTGCGGAGGCTGGGATGGCGCCACGGGGTCGGAGGGTGGCGTGGCCTCGGCAGGACAGGCGGGCGCGGCCGCCGGGAGGGTCGGCTTCTCGCTGCCTTCGATGGGGACGTTGCCGATGAGGAGAGGAACGCGCACCGTGAGGTCAAGCGACTTGACCGAGACCTGAACGCGTGCACGACGTAGGCATGGTTGAACAGCCTGGACAGAGCACGAACCCGGCCAGCCGAGTTCGATTCCCACTCACGACCAACACCCGTGACCGTTATCTGAACTGGTCATGGCCCTGCCCTAGGGGAGGGCTTTAAATTAGTACCTGGTGCGACGTGTAAACATCGCCACTTGGGTTCAGAGTACTTGCCCCAAAAGTCTGTGAACGCTATCAGGGGATCTTGGTTTTTGTCTTTGCATATACGTAATCCCTTTTGTCAGTTCACTGCTGGATGAGGGCCTCCCTACGCCATACTTCACCATGCTGGTCAGCGTGGGTGGGTGAAGGCAGGAAGCACAGATGTAGGAGCACAGAAGTACAGGGCAACACTGGATTTTACGGAACTACTACTTGCTACCTACGATACAGCTCGGCAGCAGCACATAGCAACCTGTTGTGCATAGTGACTGCCCATCCAAGCACTATCCAGGATTAAAACTGTTTGGCATCTGATGAGTTAAAGCACATTTTTCCAGGTGATTTCGTCATATGCCGATGCATATAAATTACGTACAAAATATATACGTACCACTGTGAAAAACCAACACTGGTCACCCTGTGGATAGCCTGGTCCCTACCATAGTAAAGTGGAATTTACACCACTGATTCACTGCCACTAACTCAGACGAGCCGCCTTCACAATTACTAATTTGAGAACGCAGGCCCTTTAAACCGGACGTCCGTAAGCACGCTGCTCCGGTGTAAGGCGTACCGCGTGATCAGCGAGCGGTGTGGCGGCAGCGGCGGCTGACGCGCCTGCGCTGCGATCCTGGCGGTGACCTGGATTCCATTACCAGCCAGGCACAACACCTGGGGCAAAGTCGCCCCGTGGGGCTGACTCACCCCAATGTAATCCGCAGCTGGTACCGCGGTGCGAGACGCAGAGGTACACCGGGAAAGGCGTGCTGATGAAAGAGGGCGGACGTGGTTCTGGCCACGCACTCGCTGACAGTAGTCTGTCAAATGTTCTTCTGTGTATACATCTGTAGTATGTGTGTATACAATGCATGTACAGCTATTTTTTTGCCACTCCACTAGTGAATGTACGTATGTATGCCGAACTTTTTTCGCACCGTAACGAAGCCAACCGTGCTAATCAGAGGTGCGGCGGAAAGACAACAAACTAAACACAAAAAGCAGTTCTAAAGAAATGAGTTTTCAATCCAGATTTAAAAGTGAATTGCTCCAGCGGCTTCCTAATATTGGAATTAAGAGCATTCAAGACTGCAGCAGAAGCGCATCTGAAAGCGCGCGATGTGGTGACCATCTTTGTTTGATGGCTAGCCAAAAGTCGCTGCTACGAGAGGATGACCGGAGTTTGCGTGATGATAGTTTTTGTTCCTTGACGAGATCACCAAGGTATTGTGGTTCATTTGTGGCAAGCACTTTGTGTGTAATGAGTGGGACCTTATAATGTGAAGGCCTCTTTATGCCATATCGGCCATGGGATTGCCTGACCATACACCGCAAGGCTGGTCAGTGCGGATTGGTGAAGGAAAGGCAGGCGATGGGGCAGGACTGGTTAACATATCACTCACCACTGATATTAGCCATGGCAGGGAATCAAACTCAGAGGCCCCGGGGTTTGTGGCGCAGCACGCTGGTAACCTCCAGACCACCGCTCCGCCACACCCCGTGCAAATATATGGCTTAGTTTTGTGCAAAATGCACAAAAATAAGCGATATATTCAGAAATTATTCAAAAATGACTTTGAATGAATTATACAAAATGTTTATTTACAGAAATCATACCCTTGCTGTATTGTTAGCTCACAAAAGCCTCTGACCCATATAACCCAAAATTAACCATCCCAAATTTTTGTTATCTGGCCGCACAACGAGTGACCAGTGAGCACTACGACGAGTGACCAGTGAGCACTACGAGTGACCAGTGAGCACTATGACGAGTAACCAGTGAGCACTACGACGAGTGACCAGTGAGCACTACGACGAGTGACCAGTGAGCACTACGACGAGTGACCAGTGAGCACTACGACGAGTGACCAGTGAGCACTACGAGTGACCAGTGAGCACTACGACGAGTGACCAGTGAGCACTATGACGAGTGACTAGTGAGCACTACGAGTGACCAGTGAGCACTACGACGAGTGACCAGTGAGCACTACGAGTGACCAGTGAGCACTACGAGTGACCAGTGAGCACTACGAGTGACCAGTGAGCACTACGACGAGTGACCAGTGAGCACTACGAGTGACCAGTGAGCACTACGAGTGACCAGTGAGCACTACGACGAGTGACCAGTGAGCACTACGAGTGACCAGTGAGCACTACGACGAGTGACCAGTGAGCACTGCGAGTGACCAGTGAGCACTATGACGAGTGACCAGTGAGCACTACGACGAGTGACCAGTGAGCACTACGACGAGTGACCAGTGAGCACTACGAGTGACCAGTGAGCACTACGAGTGACCAGTGAGCACTACGAGTGACCGGTGAGCACTACGAGTGACCAGTGAGCACTACGACAAGTGACCAGTGAGCACTACGACGAGTGACCAGTGAGCACTACGACGAGTGACCAGTGAGCACTACGAGTGACCAGTGAGCACTACGAGTGACCAGTGAGCACTACGAGTGACCAGTGAGCACTACGAGTGACCAGTGAGCACTATGACGAGTGACCAGTGAGCACTACGAGTGACCAGTGAGCACTACGAGTGACCAGTGAGCACTACGACGAGTGACTAGTGAGCACTACGAGTGACCAGTGAGCACTACGAGTGACCAGTGAGCACTACGAGTGAGCAGTGAGCACTACGACGAGTGACCAGTGAGCACTACGAGTGACCAGTGAGCACTACGAGTGACCAGTGAGCACTATGAGTGACCAGTGAGCACTACGAGTGACCAGTGAGCACTGCAAGTGACCAGTGAGCACTACGAGTGACCAGTGAGCACTACGAGTGAGCAGTGAGCACTACGACGAGTGACCAGTGAGCACTACTACGAGTGACCAGTGAGCACTACGAGTGACCAGTGAGCACTACGACGAGTGACCAGTGAGCACTACGAGTGACCAGTGAGCACTACGAGTGACCAGTGAGCACTACGAGTGACCAGTGAGCACTACGACGAGTGACCAGTGAGCACTACGAGTGACCAGTGAGCACTACGAGTGACCAGTGAGCACTACGACGAGTGACCAGTGAGCACTACGACGAGTGACCAGTGAGCACTACGACGAGTGACCAGTGAGCACTACGACGAGTGACCAGTGAGCACTACGAGTGACCAGTGAGCACTACGACGAGTGACTAGTGAGCACTACGAGTGACCAGTGAGCACTACGACGAGTGACCGGTGAGCACTACGAGTGACCAGTGAGCACTACGACGAGTGACTAGTGAGCACTACGAGTGACCAGTGAGCACTACGACGAGTGACCAGTGAGCACTACGAGTGACCAGTGAGCACTACGACAAGTGACCAGTGAGCACTATGACGAGTGACCAGTGAGCACTATGACGAGTGACCAGTGAGCACTACGAGTGACCAGTGAGCACTACGAGTGACCAGTGAGCACTATGACGAGTGACCAGTGAGCACTACGAGTGACCAGTGAGCACTACGAGTGACCAGTAAGCACTACGACGAGTGACTAGTGAGCACTACGAGTGACCAGTGAGCACTACGAGTGACCAGTGAGCACTACGAGTGAGCAGTGAGCACTACGAGTGAGCAGTGAGCACTACGACGAGTGACCAGTGAGCACTACGAGTGACCAGTGAGCACTATGACGAGTGACCAGTGAGCACTACGAGTGACCAGTGAGCACTACGACGAGTGACCAGTGAGCACTACGAGTGACCAGTGAGCACTACGACGAGTGACCAGTGAGCACTACGACGAGTGACCAGTGAGCACTACGACGAGTGACCAGTGAGCACTACGAGTGACCAGTGAGCACTATGACGAGTGACCAGTGAGCACTACGAGTGACCAGTGAGCACTACGAGTGACCAGTGAGCACTACGAGTGACCAGTGAGCACTACGAGTGAGCAGTGAGCACTACGACGAGTGACCAGTGAGCACTACGAGTGACCAGTGAGCACTACGACGAGTGACCAGTGAGCACTACGATGAGTGACCAGTGAGCACTACGACGAGTGACCAGTGAGCACTACGACGAGTGACCAGTGAGCACTACGAGTGACCAGTGAGCACTACGAGTGACCAGTGAGCACTATGACGAGTGACCAGTGAGCACTACGAGTGACCAGTGAGCACTACGAGTGACCAGTGAGCACTACGAGTGACCAGTGAGCACTATGACGAGTGACCAGTGAGCACTATGACGAGTGACCAGTGAGCACTACGAGTGACCAGTGAGCACTACGAGTGACCAGTGAGCACTACGAGTGAGCAGTGAGCACTACGACGAGTGACCAGTGAGCACTACGAGTGACCAGTGAGCACTATGACGAGTGACCAGTGAGCACTATGACGAGTGACCAGTGAGCACTACGAGTGACCAGTGAGCACTACGAGTGACCAGTGAGCACTATGACGAGTGAGCAGTGAGCACTACGAGTGACCAGTGAGCACTACGAGTGACCAGTGAGCACTACGAGTGAGCAGTGAGCACTACGACGAGTGACCAGTGAGCACTACGACGAGTGACCAGTGAGCACTACGAGTGACCAGTGAGCACTACGACGAGTGACCAGTGAGCACTACGACGAGTGACCAGTGAGCACTACGACGAGTGACCAGTGAGCACTACGACGAGTGACCAGTGAGCACTACGACGAGTGACCAGTGAGCACTACGACGAGTGACCAGTGAGCACTACGACGAGTGACCAGTGAGCACTACGACGAGTGACCAGTGAGCACTACGACGAGTGACCAGTGAGCACTACGAGTGACCAGTGAGCACTACGACGAGTGACCAGTGAGCACTACGACGAGTGACCAGTGAGCACTACGACGAGTGACCAGTGAGCACTACGAGTGACCAGTGAGCACTACGACGAGTGAGCAGTGAGCACTACGAGTGAGCAGTGAGCACTACAACGAGTGACCAGTGAGCACTACAACGAGTGACCAGTGAGCACTATGAGTGACCAGTGAGCACTACGAGTGACCAGTGAGCACTGCAAGTGACCAGTGAGCACTACGAGTGACCAGTGAGCACTACGAGTGAGCAGTGAGCACTACGACGAGTGACCAGTGAGCACTACGACGAGTGACCAATGAGCACTACGAGTGAGCAGTGAGCACTACGAGTGACCAGTGAGCACTACGAGTGACCGCGGGCGCTGTGCGTGGGGACCTGCACAAAGTGCTCCAGGGAAATGAGCTTGCAGCCGGGTAGCTCCGAGCAGGGCAACGCCGGCACGGAGAAGCGCTCCTTCCACTGCGTCGTCTGCTTGGGCCCGACGCTGCCGCCGTCCTTCGTGACGAGCGTGGTCAGGTCAACGATGTCGCGCTTGCCCCTGTAAGTCACCATCTGGGAGGGACGGTGAACGATAAATTGGTGGTTAGGTGGAATGTGCGGTCAATCGTGGGTCAAGGGGAGGAAAATGAGGCCGTGGCATTGACAAAACAATGCCTTGTATGCCGAGTGAGCTGGCAAGCCGGTATATTAACGGAAGCTCGACTGATGTATGTGAAACTTCTTTTCCTCTGTACGTAGCCAACTGTGTTAATCAGAGGTGTGTGTGTGTGTGTGCATGGAAACACTCAAATAAACGTGCACATCAGATGTGGACCCTGATCCCCGGTGCTCTTGTAATCTTTAACGCAAGAGCCAACATTGTGTGCAGAACAACAATACTTTGTAAAAAATACTTTTTCAAAAATAAAAAAAAACAATGATACAGATCTGGGCATTAGTGTTGGTGTCCAGTGTCCAAACGGTGACAATAAAGTAACCAATCGGGTCACTTCATTAAATAAAGTCCAACGTAAATCTCTAAAAATCCATTACAAAATAAATTATTTAAAGTTGCCTATTAGCGTGGATATTGATGTCATGCCAAGAGATAAACAAACACGTTCTTTGGGAATTCTATCGGAAAATTGCATCATCGCAAATTTGAGAAAGGCTTCTGGTGAAATCAGAACACTACTTCTAAGATTCCCTCCTTTAGCTATCATTCACTCAGCAGTGGGTGCACCGTTCCCACAACGACCTGCGTTATAAACGTTTACTGCATATAAAGCAACCTGAAAATGTTGCTATCCTCAGAGCTGTAAATATTCCAAATTAAGTCAAATATAATATTTAAAGATGTCTTTGTGCAGTCGCTGATATCCAGGCTGAAACCGTCGATCGAGAACCCAGTTTCATCGTCATCGACTGAAACCCAGGATTTCAGCAGTGCCGGCTTCGACGCTCTGACAACGCAATCGCTCTGAGCTACCCAGCCATTACTTCCCAACCGCATTTTCGCAATGCACTACAATCCACGTTTTCACGTCTACTAAATCTTATCCAATGAAATCCAAATTAAGCAAATATGGAAACCTGCACTGCGGTGTGATGTCACGACTAAATATTAGAAGTCTCTGGGGTAACGTTTGCGGCAAAGGCCCTTCTTTTAATGATATCAAATGATAAAGATTTACAGCCCTTTGTCAATCCACTGCTGAATGAATGCCTCCCCAATGCCATGTCGTTAGACCATACTTCACCACGCTCGTCAATGCGGGTTGTTAATGGGGGGGGAAGGGCACCCATGACCATATCACTCGCCACCAATGTTAGCTGTTAGAGGGCCAGTTTCATGGTGCGGTGTGTTAACCACTGCGCCACTGCTCTGCCTAGGCCCGATTCTTAGCAGAGAGAAATACAGAGGGAAAGAAGAACACTGCGAGCTGCCTCCGTTGCGGTTGTGACGAGAATATTTTATAATGTTATACCTTGAAAAAAATAACATTACGTGAAAAAAGATTAGTGGTAGAGGAATACATCAATAGATGCTGCATTTGTTGCATTCAAATTCTGAACGTAGTTTGTGTTCGAGTTCGTAATAAATATCCCACAATGATCATCACGTGGCACTGGTAATAAACGAAGAGAGAATTATGATTAAATCTAAAACACCACTCAAGATATTGTATGCTTGGTAATTGAAAATGTTTAAGTCGAGAAATTAATTACAAACCCGATATTAACGAGGCTAAATTTAAAACAACTTTGACAAAGCTTGCAACGGAAGAGAGGCCGTTAAGGCAGTGCTGCTCTGTGGCCTATTTTAGGTTTTAAATCACAAGTTTACGACTGAAGCTCCAAAACGCACTGGTCTGTCACCTATCCAGGAGATGGGGGTACAGACTATGGATTTTTTTAATACTTTTGTTCAGAGCTTTGAATGATGTCCCCTCGTATGCGTGGCATTTCTACAGCTTGCCCGCTTTCTTCCAGTGTCCAACACTCATGAACAGGATTTACCAAACGTCAAAATGCAATAATCTCCTGAAAAAGAGGCTTTCCTGGACAACTAAAAACCATTATTATTATTAAACATAACACACGATAATCATTCAACATTATTACGGAAAATGTTAATAACAAAATAAATAATCCCTCCTTTCCATATATGTCTCTCCACATAAAAAATATATATTTAAGTATATTTTGTGACACAATCCATCGGCCACACAGCCTTCTGGGAGTGTCCCATCAGCAGCATTGGTTCAAAACAAGCAAATCTTGGACCAGTTTTGACACTCATCAGCATTCAGGCTAACCAGACGCTGGAGAACTGCCCAATGTTATTAAAAACGTGACCTTAAAGACTGCGGAACCAGCAGGTGTCTCCCTTGAGCCGTCAACTCTCAGGCAGCACAGCAACCCCAGGGAATGTTAACCCACCTGTGGGACTTTGCCGAGACTCTTTTAGCTAGCCATAAAACCTTTTGGCTAGCCATCAAACCTTTTGGCTTGGCATTGAACCTTTTGGCTTGGCATCGAACAAAGACGGTCACTGCATCGCGCGCTTTCAGGGGCGCTTCTGCGGCCACCTGGAACGTTCTTGCTTCCAATATTAGCAAGCCACTGGAGCGAACCGATTTTAAATCTCGATTGAAATCTCATTTCTTTAGAACTGTATATTGTGTTAGTTTGTTGTATTTTCCCAAACCTACGATTAGCACAGTTGGCTACGTAAGGTGTGAAAGAAGTTCAAACACACAAAATAAACTGATTTAACTTTGTGGTGATTTACTTGTTTTCTACCTGTTATTTGTGATTTCTTTTCTGGAGGCAGCTGTTGAATAAAACCCAAAGTGAATTATTTGTATACAGCATTTAAGTGATCAACACGGCACTTGCATTCTGGGATTAGCACTTCTGATTCACAAATAACTAACAACAATATCATAACATCTTACAGACATTTGATTCAGAAAGTATTTTACCGTGCATGGGAGAGGTCAATTAATACATATTCCCAAATTAATTGAGTTCCTGAAGAAACGCTCCCAGCCCATCGAGCGAAACGTCGGACATCATGCCGAACAACACGTTGTACAAGAACGGAATCGTTCCCGATGTTCCTCAAGCTCCCAGCACGTGGAGCGAAAACGTCAGACATCATGGTGAACAGTGCAAGGTACAACCCGAAAACACCTCAGAGAAATGTCGAGCAAAACCGTGAAAACCTGCGTAGTCGCAGCAGCTGTTAAATCTAATTTCTGAATTGAACACAGTGAAGACTACACCCTAACCTAAACTAAAACTCGAAACCATTTTTATTTTATCAGGCAAGGCCCACTGAACTATGAAGCTCTTTTTCAGAAGCGATCTAGCCAGAAATGATAGCTCAACAAAGTGGCTCATCATATGGAAATGTATAGCGGCCAAATACTCTAAACGCATGTTCATAAATGTGGAGGAAAAAACCGGAGGACCCGGAGAAAAATCCACGCGACCACGGGGAGAGAGAGACACGCAAACTCCCCATATACAGCAGCAGGCATCAGGCTCGGGATGGAACCCACAACCTCCTGCATAACAGGCGAGGCAGTTAACACCTTGCCACCGTGGCACCACTCATCCAGATCATTGAGGGGATATGATATCGTTGAGGATGGAAGTGACATGGGCACATAAAGGGAAGGCACAGCTGACAAAAAAAAACACATGTCATCTTGCACGTGCCCTGAGCAGTGTGCCCCAGGCTGTGCACAATGATCGTGAAACTTTATTGATTGAAAAAAAAAAGAGCATAGGCAGTTACGGTCAGGGGTTTTGCATATTGAGGTCACCGCTGCGACACATCGAGAAGTACGGCAGAGGCACTGCAGGAATGTCACTAGGGCACTCCCTCACGATCAGTTATAACATTTGGCGGATAAAATATATTTGTTTTGTGGCTTATACTGTCCACTTCAGCAAAAAAAGCGAAACTCACCACGCCAATTCTTGAGCTACACATCGTTAGTCATAGAACATTGACTCAGCTTTCGTTCTTGACTTGCTCTCAGGGGTTTGGTCTCGGGGTGTCCGTGGTCTGAGAACCTGGGTGGTTTTGCCACCTGGTCACGTGTTATTTCTCAAAATGGTAACTTCGCGTGAAATGTGTCAATATTGACCGATTGCTACATTTTATTGAAAGGCAAACTATACGGCTTTTTCCCCAAAATTGTATTGTAAGACAGTTTTATGCAGATGTATTATTTAAATTTAGATTGAAAGTATTTGACACTTTCCATTCTGCAAAATGAGATTGTTTTCACTGTCTGGAGGATATTCTTAGCTCTTTCGGTAAAGTCACGTTGAAGGGAAACAATAAAATAATAAAATATATGTAAAACAATAAAAATTCTCACGACGTTTCGACCATAACACAAACGGTCATCATCAGGTGTGAAAAACCAACGGCAAGAAACATTTGAAAGAAATGGCAGTCCGCATTTATTTATTTTTAAACGGTGTATTTATTTGTTTATAAATAAAAAATAAAAAAAACGTTAGCACCACGGGCAGCGATTTGGCAGTTTGTTTAGAAGGACGAGTCCATCTATGTTCTGAAAAGAGGAGGGAGGAGACGAAAAATTGATGTATGCTGTCTGAAAGCCACCGTAAGCGTGAACAATCAATTAAGACCTGAAATGGTTTATCAAATCCTTCCAATGATTGCTAAGCCAGAATCCATCTTCTCGGTTGAAATTGTCTCTGTGCTTGTATATGTGGATAGCCTCATGAACGAATCTCTCACGGTAGCCAGATGGCTTACAAAGAACCTCTGTCTTGGAAAAGTCAATGGCATGTGAGCCTACTGAATTAGAACAATGATCTGCTACGGCCGAGGTGTTGGTCCTACCGTGTTTAAGGTCTGCTTTGTGTTCACAAATGCGGTCCGAGACATGGCGTTTGGTTTCTCCAATGTAACTACTACCACAGAGGCAACTTAGTTTGTAGACACCAGGGTACTGTATGTCCGGAATCACATCTTTTACGGACGGAACCAGATCACGGATTTTATGTAATGTGTTGAAACG